AAACATTAATCTCATCATGAATTTATGGATTTAATTGCACTCATGCCACCTCTGAGCCTCATTAAATGTACACCAAGCCACTTTTGTGTCCTTCTGTGCCACCTCTACAAATTAAGTTTGTTAATACTGATTTTATTTGATTGGTAACTTATGTTTCTTATTCTACTTGTTCTTATTCTGTCGTTTTAATTACAATTTTTAAAAAGCTTATAAAATATCATTTTTAAAGAATTTGACAAAAGATGACATACTTTTAAGTATGAAATACTTTATATATACTATATATTACTTTATATATAAATACTATAACATAACTTAAGTTAGAAAAATGCCATTTACAAAGGTAAAAACTAAATTCCACTGTAAATCACTTTGAGTCAAATATCACCTTGTAATGGGAAGGCTAATTTTTGATAAATTTTGGATTATTGATTAGAAGGTGCTCCTAAAATTTTTAACGTGATCCTACATTTTTGAAAAAGAAAAGTAAGCATAGAGCCCTGGTAATGTAGTTATGCCCATGATGAGAATTATGGGTGGGGGCCACCCCGCTGCATGAAAATGGAATTCTGTAAAAAACACTAGGATTTTCCAATTCTACTTGTTCTTATTCTGTCGTTTTAATTACAATTTTTAAAAAGCTTATAAAATATCATTTTTAAAGAATTTGACAAAAGATGACATACTTTTAAGTATGAAATACTTTATATATACTATATATTACTTTATATATAAATACTATAACATAACTTAAGTTAGAAAAATGCCATTTACAAAGGTAAAAACTAAATTCCACTGTAAATCACTTTGAGTCAAATATCACCTTGTAATGGGAAGGCTAATTTTTGATAAATTTTGGATTATTGATTAGAAGGTGCTCCTAAAATTTTTAACGTGATCCTAAATTTTTGAAAAAGAAAAGTAAGCATAGAGCCCTGGTAATGTAGTTATGCCCATGATGAGAATTATGGGTGGGGGCCACCCTGCTGCATGAAAATGGAATTCTGTAAAAAACACTAGGATTTTCCAATAAAATTCAATTACATATAATGAACTTCTCGCATGATTTGCTTTTGGCTTACATCAGAGAATTTGTCTGCAACCATGTAGCGAACCCTCCAGGATTTGTCTTCTGCTGCCTGGCGCAGAGTGGGCATTACCAGAGCTTCCAGATCCTCTTGAGGCAACAGAGTGGCAATACTGACGCCGGCCTCCACAGCCAGGAGACGAACAGAGTCCTACAGTGATGTAAATGTTTGCATTCAGATGTCAGAAGAAAACACTTTGATATTTACCATTCAACTCTGCTCCAGCACTGAGTTACATAAACACAATGAAAACCTTTCAAGCCTCCAATGGTCTTGTCATGCGACATGTGCTCAGAGCCTTTATGCTGTGGTTTGAGTAATGACGGAATTAAGAGTCAGTGTGTATATTTTAGTGAGTATTACTGAAACCAGACCTGTTCATCAGATGCCAATGCAGTGAAGAGAGAAATGATGTCACTCTTGACATACTCCAGCTCCAACACTTTGGCAAATTCACCCAGCTTGGAGGCGGCTGCACGGCGCACCATGGGAGTATCATCAGAACACAGGGTACGGAAGTGCCTGAGGAGAGATGATATATGTGTTAACATGTTTCCAATTAAACGGAAAATGAAGACGATGAGGTAGTGATTTTCCTTTCCACTTGTTATTTTAACATTAACACTCTGTAACTATAATTACGCTTAATCTAAATAGCTATTCACACTGAGAGTGAATAATTACCCCAATAAATAATACATTTAAGCAATACATTCCTATGGACCCATTCACACCACGGACAAAAATGTGTCTGACGTCAGAATGTGTTATATGTTCAGTATAAAACTCAGTAAGATATAAGCCAGCTGGAACCCTGTTTTACAGCTGCTGATATTGTTAATACAAAGAATATGCCACATCGAGAGAACGAAGTGATGTGAAAAGTGCGATTGCATTTGATATACATTTATACTGGTGTGAATATTATGAAATCTGTTAAAACATGGCCGGATCATGTTTTACTCCAAAATCAAAAGAAATACATTTTATTTCACTTACAGTAAATTACGTCTGCTTTAGCACCTTTTTTTCCATTGTGACATTATTTTCATGACAATTAAGCTCATTTTCACTAAAATTCTCACTGTAATGCAAAGGAAAATTGAAATATCAATACTTATGATTTTAAAGGCAGTTATTTTTTGCACTGTCTTTTATATTTCTGCTGATCTAAATAAAATGATTGCATTACATTAATCTTTTTACTGCAATATAGTAAAAACTATTAGCACATTTATATATTTGCCAGAATTAACAGTAATGAGAATCCCTTTTGTGGTTTAGGGTAATTACTAAAAAAAAAAAAAAAATCTTAATGGTCATATATAATTATATATATTTTTTTAGATTCACCCACCTACCTATCACCTTATATTACAACACCTATATTATTTAAATGCCAGAATTTATTTCATTGTCATTTTTAATTTATGCGGATTTAAATTAAATGATTGTACTACATTAATGTTTAAAAAATAATTACTACATTTAGGAATTCGGCTGAATTTTTGATGAAAGATTACGAAGACACAAGAATGTAAAAAACATTTTTAAAAAAGTGCACAGATAAGTCAGACAGTAATAAATACTGCAATATATTCCATTAAAAAAAAAAAAGAACTGTTCATTTTGAATTCATAGTGACTTAAAAAAAAGTGATGGTAAAGTGAGTGTAATCTGCATTGTTAATTTTTTTAAGTGCTTTCTCGGTGTGCTCTTGGTGTGAACAATCTTGTTTTAAATTAATCACCGTTTCCAAAATAAAAACGTAGTATTATAGCAAAACGCTTCTCATAATGTGTTAAACTTACTGGCGGATCTCAGCTTTGACTGTACTGGAAACTCGTGGGTAGCAGACACTGAAGAGTCCACAGGCAGAGGTACGTGATGTGAACCAGTCACCGCTGGCCAAACGCTTCACCAGAGGCTCAAAGTGTACTTCCAGGTCCACTGGAGAGTGCTCATGGGAGATCTTCCGCAGGGACTCCACTGCCTTGTCTCGCACCACCGTCTCTTCAACTGTAGCCAAACTCTCCAAAGGGGGCTGAAAAAAACAATACACAAGTCAGCAAGTAACAAGCAAACAAATTCAAACTCAGAATTATTTCACTTAGTCAATTTCAGTATGAAATCAAGTCAAAAAGCTTACAAGGAGACAGTGCACATATTCAGGGCCTCCAACCAGCATGGTGAAGTTCCCCAGTTGTTCAGCAAGAGCAAGCAGTACTTCATCCTCATCATAGATGGTATCTGATCAATCAGAAAATGAGAAACTGAGAGTTATGCACAAGAAGAGTTTACTACACCTAAAATAAATCTGTTATACTCATATCGGCTAGGAAATAAGCCAGCAGTCCTTAAAAAAAACACCTGTGAGGAAAGGCAGAAGTTCCGTGCGTGTTCTTTCGACGCCCAGAGCTAAAGCGATGGTGGACAGTTTCTTAATGCTGTTCAATCGTAACTACAGGGAAAAAGGCAAGAAATCTGTAAGAGGAGAGTATATTTGACAGCAAAGCAGACTACTGGTCTACGTTTACAACTTATAAACTCTAAAATTATGGTTTGATAACAATCCATTGAGATCAAAAAGACTAGACCATTTATTTATTCTTGATTCATATTTCTTGATTCCAGTCCTATAATTAGCAGCACAGCCCTGTATTTTTTTAACGAGAGGGGAATGAGCTCACCTTATAGTGACTGTAGCTAATAATCACCAATTGGTGTATTTTACCATTCTAAACAAAATATATAATACACATTTAATACATTAAATATGAATTAAGTTAACTAATACATTTGAAGTGTCACTGAATTATCTTCTCGTCGCTACCGGTTGCTGGATGAGCTTTTCGCTTAATAAGTGTCAGTGTGTCGTTAATGTGTTCACATTGCAAACTATTCAACATTTGAGTCATACTTAGTCTGTGCTTTAAAACGTCTTGTAATGAAATGCTGTGATTCTCTATTTACATTTTTTTTTAATGCTTGAACTACAAATACAAAACAAAAGTGCCATGGGTATACACAAAAAGTACATCTCGATTTAAATAATTAAGCGACTCAATGACCTACCACAGTTAAGTCGCAGAACTAGCCGTGTTAGCAACCGCACAAACTGCTCTGCGTTAACACTGTATTTACACACGAAACCAAGTCATTTCACACACACCTAATAATACATTTGGGTATGCTAAACGGCACGTTTGTGGCTTTATCCGTCTTTGAATTTGATATATAATCCTGCAGAGTCTTGATTGCTGAATTATCTTCTCGTTGCTAGCCGGCTGGCTAAACTAGGACAGGCCCACATTACTGGTTGCTGTTAGCTACTGCTGTCCATTCAAGCCTCTACGCGTTCGAGTCTATTTCTCAATCTAGAACTTGGTGTTAAAATGCGTATTTTGTTTACCTGAACATCTTCATTTCTTAATTCGTCAATTAGCACGGCAATAGGGTAAAGAGAGTCGTCGCTGTCTGCTCCCGCCATCTTGGATGCTAAAGGCTGCTTAGCTAGTTCCTGCTACGGGGTTTCTCTTCTCTCTGCGCCCAGCACAGCAATATAAAACCAGTACATGAGCTCGAGAGGCGCGAACCCCAGCACACTGACTGTAGTCACTTTATTCACTAACACTTCTAGACAGGCTAGACATTCACAAACACAAACCATTTTCTGCAAAATAGCTGGAGTGATTCACTACCAGAGTAATACCATGTTTTTGTGTATACATAGGGCTAAATACTAGCAACAAAACACCAAAGTAGCCTACTTCTACAACTGGTCCAAGAGGTCATTGTGTGCGATAATCATCATTTTATGATTAAATGTTATTAAATATTTATGCATATTTATTCATCCAGTATAGTTTGAGATAAAATACTTCATGCGTTTCATTTATTGTTGAATAAGTGTAAGCCCATTATTTGGAGGAAAAAGCTGTGGTCAAAAAGGGTGTCAAAAACACTGCTAGTTTGGCAAAGATGTAGTATATTCTAGGAATGAGAATAATATATGGATTGCTGTCCATGATTGTGAGGACGTAGATTTGTTGGGAAGTAGCCTATGTTGTCTGACATTTTCTCTTCCGATCATCATGGAGACTTGTACAGTAATACCCCATATGTTAACTGAAAGAGTGTTAATAAAATATATAAGAGCTTACGAAATATGTAAGAGGTTATAAAAAATACTCAGAAAGTGATTAAATAAACACAATTATTTGCTAAAATAAACACAGTTTGTTAAATTGGTTATTTTGAATAAGTGTATTTAAATGTTACTTCAAATATCTAGCTATTGGTGCTTTGGTGGCAAATTCTATTATTAATCACTATTTGTTCCAGTCTGGGGTATAAAGCACTTTGTAATTTCCTTTCATATTTACATTCTTTTTCATTAAAACCCTTTTCTTTTTCTTTTTTCATTTTATTTATGGGTGATTCTTAGACTATGGGCACTTTTATGTTCTTTGTGATACAGTTTCAGGTGTTCTTTACAGTTACTCTTTACAGAAGATGGGTGTTCATTTAAGAGACCAATGAGAACATTTCAGTATCAAACTCTCACAATTATATAGCCTCATGATTATCTCACAATGTTGAAATTTTGATGCATCATTTATTGCTTATATTTTTGCCTTGCCATCAGTTGTGTCAGTTATTTACAGTATGCACTGTAACCGTTATCTTTGAGACAAATCAGTTTTATACATCAAACTCAGCACTACACTAAAAACAGGTGTGGTTATGTTTAATGACTTTGTGAATTGAGTTTGAGTGTGATGAGATTAAGAATTTTTCTAATAAATATCTCTACTGTTTCTCTACATTCACGTTAATTCATTGTCATTTCCACAACACCCTGTCATTTCCATCACCACACACATTTTTAAAAAATATTTAAAAAGTTCTCATCACACATTAAAAATGTATCCACAATTTATGAGATCATGCTCTACTTAATATAAAAATTCAAGGTATTTATTTTCTAATAAGCTCTTACCCAAACCAATATTACATTTCATAGTGTGACAGGTGTACAGTTCAGCATTTGGTCCTTAGGGCAGTTAATTTATCTCATTGACAAATGTATAATTATTGTACATTGTGGAAAAACTGGTAAAACTAGTTACAAAAATGATCTTAGACAATTCTTGAGTGGCATAAGTTATTCTATTTTTAAATAACAGCTGTATATTGAGATGTGGTGGAAATGACATTTGTTCATTGCAGGTTGGAAAAAATGTAAAATATTAACAATTTCTCTTGTAATCTAAGTTTGTCCTCTTACAGACCTTAAAACTAGACAAATTATTTAAACTTATGAGACTGTGTTACGTGACTTTTGAACGAGTTTTTTTTATTCAACTTCACAAGGATAAAAGTGCCCCTAGTTGAAGAAACGCCCTTATACACAATTGATGTTTCACTATTGTTGAAAAGTATGTTGAGGAAGCATTTTCCATTTAATTTTTTTGTAAATAATGAAATAGGACACTACCACCTACTATTCTGCAGTAATAGTATGTTGAGCAGTGTGCTCAGTATGCACCTATTTTACATCTGCTAAAACATCCAGTATGCAACCAGAGTTGCACACTATAAGAAATACTGTATCCCACCATGCACTGTACTCAACTTGACCTTTCATTTCCAGTGTCATGAATGAGCCAGAATGATGTTTGACATTTATTTGTTCTCTCATCAGTGTTATTATTATTATTATTAAACAAAAAAACTTACCAATGGACATTTACAAATTATAAATAATAAAAAATAAAAATTAATAAAAATGAAATACAACAAAATTACAACAACTTTGAATTAAATTAAAATGAAAACTAAAAATAAAGAAAAAATCTAATACAAAATATTAACAAAAACTATATATCAGTAATACTGAAATAAGAGTCTTTCTTTTCTTGATGTGCATTACAATGCCTACATGCATAATTTGAAAACTTGATTTCCACAAACAGATGCATGCATAACACACGATAAAATAAGAATCAAACCCACTTTGGAAGAAATAGGGTCATGAGAACTACGAAAATCGTTATTTAATATGCACAGAAAATGTCTTGTATTATTAAATGGGCTTGTGTCTGTACCATCTGTTCTGCATTCAGTTGCTAATTTGTGTTCAATTAAAACACACTGACATCCATTATTCATACTAGGCCTGCTTTTGTTAGTTTGCGTTTTAAAAAAGGATGGTGTTCATCTTCACATAAGCAATGATTGCATCGATCCATCTCACCCTATTAAGGTGACTTGAGATCAAGCTTGTTTCTTTTGTTGTTGTGCAGGTTTGAATAAAAGTAGGAAATCAGTATGAGCAGAAAATGACACCAATCTGGAGCCCTGGATACGGGATGTAATTTCAGGCAACGCTCTGTAGCAGGAAGCTGCTTCACAAAATAGCATGTTTATGACCAAGGGCAGAGCCAGATATAATACACAGCATAAAAACAGGCTTACCGTTTTAAAAGGCTGAGTAATTCCTGGTTTTGGCCTGTCGTCTGCCGACAGACAGCGCCAGGTGGCTGATCCTGCCAGGATGAAGAAGCAACTGGTCAGGACAATACACTTACCTGCTTTCATCATATCTGAGGCTTTGCAGATGGTGGATCACTGACCTAAATGTGGACTTGACATGTAAAGAGTGGAACAGATGAGCTTTTGAATGCCAGTCTGATCCAGTTTTGTGCCCTGACTAATAACGATCAAATAAGCCATATACATGCATTGCATTGAAAAAAAAAATGTATATGCTAACTACCATCAAAAAAAATGCAAAGTTTATATTAATTTAATATTTGACTCTGTATTATAAACTTAGAAGAAAAAAAAGAAGAAAATTCAACATGTAGATGAGCTTGTTTCATTTTTAACAGATTTAGAGAAATTTAGTATTACATCACTTGCTCACCAATGAATCTTCTGCAGTGAATGGGTGCCGTCAGAATGAGAGTCAGTTTTTAACACTAAACCATTGCTTCTAGCCAAAATTTGACTCCATAATCCATAACAACTCTTCCTCCATGCAGTGATAAAGTCCTCTGTTGTTCACTCACATCAAACTTCATCCACATATTTTTCTGGAACTGTTTTGGACGGTTTCAGTTCTGTGCATATTTCTCTCCTGATTCAGACGAGAAAACTTTTTCACTGGATAAAGAAATATTATAGAGGACTTATATTTTAGCCAGAAGCAATGGTTTGAAGTTTACAAAATCTAAATGATGGATGGAGTGTTTCTTACAAACACTCAGCTTTTTACTTCACAAGACAGTAATTGATGGACTGGAGTTGTGTGGATTACTTGTGGATCATTGTGATGTTTTAATCAGCTGTTTGAACTCTTATTCTGACGGCATCCATTCACTGCAGAGGATCCATTGGTGAGCAAGTGATGTAATGCTACATTTCTCCAAACCAATTCCGATGAAGAAACAAACTCTACATCTTGGATGTCCTGAGGTTGAGCACATTTTCAGCAAATTTTCATTTTTGGGTGAACTATTCCTTTAAGAAATTAATCTGACTTTTCCAGGCCTGGAAATCACAATCACAAAATCTTCCCTGTTATACATTTTTTTTTTATGACTGTAGGAACCTTTGTATATTGTCATTTTAATTGTAATCAGTGTAACAAATATACTCAAACAATGCATCGAAACAGACCTTTTACACCCGTATTAAAATCAGTATAAATGCATAAAAATTGGCAGCTTTCTTAAAGTACAGTAAACATCTAAACATTTGAAGTTCTGAATTGTTGCTCCACTTAAGTGTAAATCACAGTTAAATTATGAAGCATAGAACAGTGCCTGGAAAACTATGTCTCATCTATGTTTCAAAGGGGTTTCTGCGTCATAGTGTATAGCGTCAATGGAAGGATTTAAAAAGGATCAGAGTTCCCTGTAGTGTTGTGGGGCTTAACGTGTCGTCACTGTAGACAGCTTAATAATCCCACGAGCCACACTTTTTCATTGCCCTCAGCATGTTTACATATACCCACATATCCACCACAGCGTACCTATTTTCTCTCTTATAGAACCGACAATGACACACAGGGGAAATGATGCATGTTTCTGAGTGATGCTGTTCAGTGATAAATCTGAGCCTCTGTGTGTGGAGCCCAGAGCTCTACATAAACATCATAAAAATACAAGCAGCCTCTCTATCAAACGTGATTTTTAAAGAAAGCGTAGTTACACAAATTTAAAATGTTACTTGACACTAGAAAGTTGTTATTTAATGCTGATCTTCGTCTCTTTACCCCCAAGTTGCAGTACAAAGAGCAAATCTGACATGAAACGGTTTTTCATGAATGGTTTTCACAATTTTTGAACAAAGAAATTTCATGACATGACCTTTCAAGTCCTTCGTGATTACTGGATAAAGGATAACGGGATCTTTTAATTAATACACGTTTAGATTTATATATGTAATTTTATATGTTAATTTAGAATCTCTCTCACTTTCTCTCTCCCTCAATCTCTCTCTCTCTCTCTAGTATATTATGCATTTCAGTGAATATACAGTAAATATACATGGATTATTACAGTGCTGTGTGGATGAACTGATATGTGTTTGTTTGACGCCGTTTGTTTGTTTGAATGTTAGAGATGGCTGCCGGCTAGCAAATTAGCTCCGCTCTGGTCCAGGGATGATGCAACCTTGTTGTCATGGAGAGGCGCTGGATACAGGAGTGAGTCAACTGATGAGGTGAGAGGATGCTGTGAATCAGTATCCCAATACAGAATGCACATAAATGGAATGATATAAAGCTATTTTATAATGTAGACAGTCTTGTGTATCCTGAAATAATTAAACTGATTGTAGAATAACACACT